ACAGCGCAGCCTTCACAGACGTCATCACACACCCGGGTTTTTCTCTCTGTGCACATTACAACAATAATTTCCTGCTAGATGTCATAAATGGCTGGCTCTTCCAAAACTGTACAAAAAGGATGGACTTGGCCACCTGGGGTCACCTTCTGGTCCCACCATGCTGGTTTGGGGGCCACGTATGGATGAGGAGGTGGCACGAAGCTTATTTTTCATTTGCATTTAAAGTTAAAATGGTTGTAAAACATGTTGGCTTTAAAATGTGTTTGGATCTGAGCATCATCCAGCAGCTCACGGTGACCTGGTTCCTGAATAAAGACGAGTAAAGGATCAATATTCACCCATGGATGAACGTTTATTGACCGGAAAGGCCTTTCTGACTCAATCTGCTGAGTCACGCTGCCGGTTAATCTTCCGGTAACCCACAAAGGTAATCTCCATCACGCCCCGAGCAGCCGCGGTGCTCCTGCCAGCCGACCTGCAGCTCCGCACTGCGGCCACCACGCATACTCTGACCCGGAGACAGACGCGCCTCCCCTTTAAAAACTGATCATTTTACTTTATTGTTTCGGAAAACAATTCAAGTAGGAAATGCGTCTTACTAGATTTTGGGGGCTAGCTCATTCGGCTCACAGTTTCAACCTAAAGTCTTAAAATGACTGTTATAGTTCAGACCTGCTGCAACACCGGCTTCCCGTCTTCAGGCTGTATGAAGTTTATGTTTAATGGCAAACAGCGCTGCTTCATGGATCAGTTTGTATGCCGATTTCTCCACACAACTACAATGATCTATAAAACATAACTCATAAACATGTTTCTGTGACATGTCCCTGCCCAAAAGTGGTGATATTTTAATCGACGGATTTGTCAGCGAAGTCTGGTGCAGCGCTCCCTGCTTACACCCGGCTTGGCTTTCTGACTAACGGGCACAGACTCACCCTGTCCCAGGCTAACCAGTGCTGCACCGCCTTGTCAAGCTTCGGGTCGCCGGTCCTCTGACACCTGACGTTGGCGTTCAGGTCTCCGTCGAGTCCGTTGTCGTCCTCCATGCTGACAGCTAACGCTCAAAGAGCCACACGGCCATCTGTCTGCCCGCTGTTGGAGGCTATTGGCTCCCCGGCGGCTAGCGCCTCCGACTCGGACTTCTCACACACACCGCCTGCCTGTTATGGCTGGTGCGGCTGAGCTCTCTCCGGAGTCGTGTATAATTTCCCACACCGAGGCCAAACGTTAGCGACAATGACGCCAGATCACCGCTGGAGGCCGACAGAAGCATTTTCTTTCTTACTTAAGTTACACGGAAGTTCACAGAGACCGGCAGAAGCAGGGCTCCTCATTTCCGGCTAGTTAATAAAATGAAAGCTTCACATGAAGCGGCACAAAAGTCTATTTATCTATTTGTCTATTTATCCCCTTTGTATATTTTATTTATATTTGTCTCTGTATTTATATATGTGTGTGTGTGTGTGTGTGTGTGTGTATATATATATAACAATTCTGTAACTGTAACTTCGGTCGTTGCTGTGCTTTTTTTGGAAGTCGAATTTCCCAGAGGAACCCACCCGAGGGATTAATAAAGTTCTATCTTATCTTATCTTATCTGTCATGTTCAGATAAACAGTGTAGCCACATTTATCCATAATGAAATTCTTTGGCTTGTGCTCCTCAGCTTTACATGAGCATACAGAGTGTGCAGTTATATTAAGAAGAAAATAACAGGAATTAACAGGATTAATAATAATAACAATGCAAAGGAGAAAAGGAGAGAAAAAAGTATTAAATATTAGAGAATTTAAGACAAGTTGGTATTTACAGGTTGTGCAATGAGCATTTAAGTGGCATTTGTTGAAGTGACAGTGTGCAGAGTCCTGTGATGGTAGTGAGTGTGGAATGTCAGCAGTCTGATGGCTTTTGGGTGAAAACTGTCTCTGTCTGCTAGTGCGGGTCTGAATGCTCCTGAACTGCCTGCTGGACGGCAGGAGTGTGAAAGGTCTGACTGGGGTGGCTGGGATCAGAGAGGACCCGCTGCGTCTTCCTCATGCAGCGCTGCCTATAAAGATCCTGCATGGCTGGCAGTTCAGTCCTGGTGATGTGCTGTGCAACAGAGTTCCTTTCCAATTTTACCAAATGAGGCACCATACTTTAGAAATTTCAAGTTAAGAGAAGAATGGGGAAACCTGAACAGTACAAAAGTCAATTTGTTAAATGAAATGAAAACTGTATGTGAACGCAAAGTGTTTTGCAAAATGGACGTTTGCTTTTTTTTAATTTCCCATTACACATGTCATTTTCCTGAGGTGGATGTTCATATTAAACATGACAAAAGTTTCTAATAATTTCATTCAACTTAATTCATATAGCACCAAACAGTCACCTCAGAGTCCTTTATAACGTACAGTAAAGACCCTACAATAATACAGACAAACAATCATATGACCCCTATGAGCAGCACTTTGGCAACAGTGGGAAGGAAAAACTCCCTTTTAACAGGAAGAAACCTCCGGCAGAACCAGGCTCAGGGAGGGGCGGGGCCATCTGCTGTGATTGGTTGGGGTGAGAGAAGGAAGACAGGATAAAGACATGCTGTGGAAGAGAGACAGAGGTTAATAACAGATATGATTCAGTGCAGAGAGGTCTGTTAACACATAGTGAGTGAGAAAGGTGACTGGAAAGGAAAAACTCAATGCATCGGGTGATATGGTACTACAGGGTCATTAAGATAAGATGGGGCCTGACTATTTAAGACCTTGTATGTGAGGAGCAGGATTTTGAATTCAATTCTGGATTTAATGATGAGCAGTGAAGCTCTGGCTGCTCTAAACTTTTGTCAGATTTTGTACTTTCACAGACGTAGAAGAGCAGCCAGAGATTAAACCTCGGTGAGGAACAGCCAATCAGAAGAAACGTTTCTTAAAGGGGGATGAGCTAAAACAGCTTGTTTCAGACAGAAGCTGGACCGACGTCCACTGTCAGATTAAGGATTATTCTGAACTGTGAAGCGTGCAAAGCTGACCTCTCCCGTTATAAATACTCACCTCGGCCATCAGTGAGACTCCGTGAGCAGTAACGGCTGCCTGACACCTTACTGGAGACCAGAGGCGGAGCCAGACATTTGAAACACCCGGGGCTTAGCCCTAAAGGGTGGTATGCATGTGGGATTTTTTCTTTTTTTGGGGGGGGGGTTAGAAATGACTGAAAGATTAATAGGCTGTGTTTTGAGTTTTGTTAAAAAAGAATGACTTCATATAGGGAAAAAAATATATCACATGTGCAGGACACCTTAAACTAGTTTTTTAATTAAGCAGCGAGGCAGAACAAAGTCAGGGCTGTATCAAGACACGAGGACTAAACCCCAATCCAACCAGACCCAGAACTGATCCTGAATTAAAACAGGACTACAACAGTCCAAAATCAGGACTACTGAGGACTTAACCAAGACAGAACCAGAATCAGAACTAGATGATAGCAGCACTAAAAATCATCATAGACCTGCACTACACTTATTGTTTAATTCTACCAAAGTACAATATTTAGATTGAGAAAAGTTTATAGAATTATTTAGCCTCGTTGTGCAAACAAGCTGCAGAACTTAATAAATATAGAATTTGAAAAATAGCAAACCTAAAAAGAAACACGAGGTATGAGATACATGAGGACCTGTGATACGCTGATACTTTTGGTAAACGACCATTTGACTAACATGTGTGTCTCACCTGCTCTTGTTCATCTCTGTTCCTCTCTCTCTCTCTGTGCTGACAATCATCAAACATACAGTTGAAACCAGATATTTACAAACTCTTCAGATAAAAACACTTTTTTAATTGTAACATCAAATCAGACTAAATGTTTATTTTTTTAGATAAATATAAAAACATATTTGTTAACTTTAAGAGTAAAGAGAGAAACTGTCTGTGTTTCTTGTAAATGGCACCAAATTGTATTCAAACTGAGCCACACTTATGGAGCTCCACAGTTCTGTTCCTGCTGTTTTGTTGACATCTCCTGATGTTCCCATGTCACAGAAACAGGCTCTGTGTTTTGCCTTACATGCATCCACAGCTGTGCCACCAGTTTACTCACATGGACTCTACGAACCAATCAGAAGCTTCTTCAGCTCAGGATGGAGTCGTCTGGAGTTTTCTTATTAATTAACAACACCCTTCAACTGGTGCGGGAGTATGAAAGGGAATCAAGGAAACTAGTGGATTATAGGAACCATCTCCGTTTCAACCCAAGATGTAGACAAAGCAGAGTTGTTCCTAAGAGCCTGCGCCTTGGATCCACTGTCAGGGGATACAGAGCAGACTTGATTCTACAGAGAGCACAAAATCACCTTTTAAGTGAAAGGATAAGACAGGTCCATTTCACCATAGATGCCCTCCAGATCAAGATCAGCCAGACCCTGCAGGAACTGGAAATCCTTCTACCCTCTCCAATCTTAGAAGAGGTTTACAAGTTTGTGGACAAGGCTCAGCGGGCCCAACACTCTAAGACCTGGATGACATACAAAGCATAATATATAAAATAACATCTACCTGAGTTTTTTCTTTGAAAGAAGCCTCTAATGTCCATTCTTATGTTTCAGTACATAACTGAAACCGATTTAGTCGGGGAGGGTAAGAACTGAAAATATGAAATAAACACACGTAAGCTAAGACTCTCTAAAAAAAATAGCATTTGTTCGGCTTCTCATTTCGCCATTTGTTGATTCACTTGAAGAGCGAGTAACGTAATATTGGTCAAGTGATCAGTTTGATATCAATCTTTCGTGATGCACCGTCATATTTACATTATTTGTACGGTACGAATGCTTTGCTTTGGTACCTGGTCAAACTTAAGCTGGCTCCATTTCTCCAACAGCGCACTCACAGGCAGCAGCTGCCCCGCCCCCTCGCTCAGTCGCTTAGTGCCTGAGCTCGGATCATACCAATATCAGGGGGGATTCACGCACAGTCGTAAATTCCCACAGTGTGCACTATGTGCTTCGAATATTGCTTGCACTTTTTGTTTTATACAGTTGTCAGCCGGGCATCTAACTATGAAAAAATTACACTCCAAAAGACCCCGGGCTTAAGCCCAGTAAGCCACCCCCCCGCTCCGCCCCTGCTGGAGACCACACTTTAACACATCACAGACACTCTGACACCTTTTTTGTGTATTCAAGTGTGAATATGCAAATGAGCTGTGAAGCCATTAAATAAACACAGATGAATGTGAACAGACCTCCTTCATCCAGCATTATAAAAACAGCTGTTAGATCAAAGAAGTCAAAGCGAGCTTTGATCCAGAGCAGCACACCTGGTCCAGCTCAAAGCTTTGTTTCAGCGGGGAGGGGCTCTGCCAGTCACTGGAAGGAAAATTTAATAAATGAAAACTTTTCTGTCCTTTCACTCAGTTTTTTATTGCAGTGTAAAGTGAGGGCACTGTCACCCTGTGAGCCTAATATTGAAAATATCAACACCAAGACCAGAAAAGAGCTCTGAGAAGCTCCGCCCACACGCTCTCCGTCAGTTACAGGTCAGGCACTGATGATGATGATGATACCAAAACTGCTCAGCACGTGCATATCAGAAAGTGTGTGCTCAGTTATCCTTCAGGTTAGTGAGTGCTGAGGTTCCTGCTGATGTCACAGGCGTCGGTGACTCGCCGCCGTCCTGCGCTGCCTCAGTCAACTGACAGTTGAACTGCTGCGTGAAGGCGTGCAGCAGGTGAGGGACGACCTCCTCCACGCTAGCGTGTCTCCGCAGCTCGGCGCTCAGCGACGTCACGCCTTTCCCTTCAATCCCACACGGAACGATGTGGTCGAACCACGACAGGTCGGTGCAGCAGTTCAGCGCCAGACCGTGAGACGTGATGTAGCGGCCACAGTGTATTCCTGAAAACACGACAGCCGTCATTCAGGCAATTCTTACACAGGACGTGCTGGAGAGCAAGCAGCTGCGTTAGAGTCCTGCTGAATGTGGTAGCGATTAAATGAAACACGCACACACTGACATAAACATGTTACCAACCTCACACCTGACCAACAGATATGAAGAGCATGTTTCACCTCTTTACCTCCGTGGGCCAGCGCACTGTCATACCACACCTGAGTCCAGCCAGTAAAACTGTTCCGTCTATGCGAGCGGCCTTTAGGTCACATGACCTCACCCTCACGCTCGCTGACAGCCTTTAACAGGTGAACAGCACCTGCAGAGATTGGTGGTCGGCCACCTGCTGCGACCCCTAACGGCCAGCAGATGGCGCTTTGTAAATAAAATTGAATTGAACTGAAAATTTTTAAACTGAGGATTTTTCACGGTGGTGGTTTCATTCTTGTCTCGATCTTTTTCCCGTCACGTGTAAGGTCCGCTCTCCTAATGACACAATAACTTAACCATAAACCACACTTGTGGCTAAGAGAAAGGACTCAGTGTGTCTGGACATTTGTGTGCCAATGGAAAGAAGGCAGTGTGACTTTGTCCATCGTCACCTAAAGACAAGGAAGTAAGAAAACAGGACAGAATCAGTGCTTTTGAATAGTGGTGCCGGAAATGGATTTCATCAGACTGAAGGACCTGCGACTCGCTTATTTCAGACACGTCACGTCTCTTCTGTTCTTCACATCAGCGTGCGAAGAACAGAAGGAAGACCGGCAGCGTTGGTTTGACACCATTATGACAACAACAGGAAGAGGCCAAGGATCAATCTTCCTACAGAATGTTTATCCACCCTTCTGTAACTGGGGCTTAAAATGAGTTTTTACTGGACTTTATGGTTTCAGCTCTATGACAGTCCTGGTTCTGGCCCAGCTGAGATCAAACTGGACCCTGATCCAAAGCGTCAGTGCTGTGTGACTGTAGGTCTATACCTCGCAGTATAAATAAAGCATCCTGAGGTGACTGCTGCTGATCCCAATAAACCTGGTGAACTCCACCTGTAGCCTGGATTAATCAGCTGCTCGTGTCTGATTATTGGTAATTATTGGTTTTAAAAAGCAGCCACACAGTCAGTGAACACATGGTTGGTGATTCAGGCTCAGAGCGACGCAGTCGTACCGATGGCGCAGATCTTATTGTCTCCGACCCAAACTCCCGTGTGAGGGGACGTCGTAGCTCGGATGGCGAACCTGCTGCAGAGTGCGATGACGGTCTGCTCCAGCTGATCGACGTACCACCGCACGCTCTGAGAGAACAGAAAACATTAAAATAAGTTCGGCTCTGATAAAAACACACCAATCTCACTCCCACGTCAGCTCAGACCTTCTTGAAGCTGCACAGGTTCAAGACTGGGTAGCAGACCAGTTGTCCCGGCCCGTGGAAGGTGATGAGTCCTCCCCGGTTTGCCCGGGCCACATCGGCCCCCAGCAGGCGCAGTTGGTCCAGCAGGGGCTCGGGGTAGGGTTTGTGGCGGATCCCGGTGGTGTAGACCGGCGGGTGCTCACACAGCAGCAGAGCGTGAGCAGGGCCGGACCGGTGCCGGTTCACATAGACCTGCTGCAGTCGCAGAGCCTCCTGATAGGAGACCAGGCCCAGGCGGACCACCTCCACCAGCGGCTGGCCGCCCCGCATCTGGGACTGACACCAGACCAATCCAGACTGTTAGTTGCACAAATGTTTAGTTTTGTTACTTGTAACCTGTTTAAAATGTATCCAGCCTTAAAGGCTGCATGACTAGGGGCGTGGCCACTTTGATTGACAGGTGGATGGTGACACAGGTGTCTGCTGTGACTTATACAGTGGATGGGTTCCGTCAGGAGCAAAGATCCTCCATCTGGTTATCTGAAACCAGCAGCACATTAGCTTTAGTGTCACAGCACATGTACATGCATGCTCATGTTCCCAGGACCTGAACCGAGAGTTCACAAGCTGCCCTAGAATATCGCAGTTTTTAGATTCCCTTAGTTCAGCAGAGATCCTGGGACATTTCTCCGAACATAATCCAAACGACACAAACCTCAGCTACTCACAGACAAATCGGCTGCTTCAATTCACACATTATAAACTCACAAAGCAGAAAACTAAAAATAAAATCGAGGTGGAGCTTCTGCTCGCGGGCACTGTGCGCTCTGACCTCAGTGACACGGTCAAAGCAAACCGCAGTACATCTCTGAATGGGAAGCAAATCCCTCCGCCGTGTCTCTACGTGATTATTTCGTTAGTTTATTAATTTATCAAAATACTTTATCAAAACCATCACCTGTCTAACTTCTGTACGCTCCTCTACCACGACCCGCTCTTCTTCTACAGCTGTGAGACTGATGACGTCTTCCGGTTGTACAGCGCCGTCTTGCCATTAACCGGAACCTAAAGTTTTTCATAATAAAACTGAATTATTATCGACTTATTTTTTAATCTCGCAGTTTTGTCAAATTAATAAATATCATTTCTTGAGTTGAAAAATTAGATTCATATTAAGGCAACAAAATTTAAATTGCCAAAGATCTGCTCTCTTTCATGAGAAAATAAATTCACAACAGGTAAATTACAATATGTTGGCCGTCTTGTTTTTAATTTTATTACTTCTCATCCCTCCGTCTTTATTTTGCCAATGTTTACTTTCTAAGTAGCGATTTCTTTGTCTTGCAATTTATGTTTATTGAAAATAATGCTGTTAAACCACACACTAAAAATCACAAACTCAGCCCCAACAGAAAGAGACATATTTAGCAGCTTTGATTTTCAAAGCACATTTTGCTACATATTTTACATGTTTGTTTTTTTTACAGACTACCATCAAGTTATTTTTTTTTATTTTCTAAATTTGGAAATGCACAATAAAATGCAACGACTTAGTTTTATTTTGAAGTCGACACCTGACGTCAGAGGAGGCTCGCGCCGCTGTGATTCAGCGGCTCCGGTTGGCGGGCTGCACGCGCGTCCACTCCTCTGCGCTCGCGCTGTTTCGGCGGCGGCAGGGCGGGGTTTGTTTTGAGAGCGGACCGGAGAGAGAAGACTCACCAGGGAAGATGGCGACCGCAGGGTCTGCCGAACGGCCTGGGAGACCGGCCAGCGCCACGGCCGCCGGCACGTCCCGGGCCGGGCTCGCAGCTCGGTGCCGGTCCGGGTCCAGCCCACCCGAGTACGAATCCAAGAAGTGCATGGCGTGCGCGGAGACCGGAGGCAGCCCGGCCGGCAGACACCTGGCCTGTCCGCTCTGCCTAGCCTGCAGACACTCCGGCAGCGAGGAGCGGCTCCGCGGGAGGAGCGACCACGAGAGTAGCAGCAGTAGGCCGGGCGGGAGGGACTGCGACAGCCGGAGAGGTCGGTGAGCTTCTCGGGGAATCGCCCGTGCAGATATCGCTGTATCACACCGCTGCAGGGTGTTTGTTTAACGGCAGAAAACAGCGGGAATTTAAATGAAATCAACTTTAATAAAGTTTAACGTGAGCAGCGCGCGGTTTTAAGAATGTTAAAGGTTAGTTTTACGTGAAAAACATTTATGAAGTGTGGTAGCTGCAGGCGTAAAAATCCCCGCTTTTCTTTATGGAGTTTTGTATGGAGCTACAGGCTCAATCACAGGTCAACGTGTGGACACAAATCAATGAGAAAACCATGGAAACAGCCCTCAGAGGACACGTGACTGCTCACAGTGACCTCACCTGATCACAGGTATAGGCAGCAGGGTCACATGTCATGTGGCACTGCTCAGGTCTGCAGATGGGGAATGTGTCCAGACATGTACAGCTGGAGGAGGAGTTGAGTTACTGCAGTACTAGTAGTACTGGAGGTATTACTGCGTGGACTCTGTTAGCAGTGACTGGCTGGAAAAGCCCAAGGGGGTTATTACTAGTACTTAGAGCAGGACACAGCAGGAGAACCAAAAATACTGTAAGTACTCTTTGACTTGCACTGACCACTGTGAACAGCAGTTCTTACATAAGAAAGCTCGGGTGAGACTCAGTGGCTTCATGTGTGTTGGATGGAGTCAGAAGGTGCTGATGGTGATCATGTTTTATGTTTTATTCATTGACCCAATACTGACACCTTTAGCATTTTTCCTTGTATCTGAGCAGCTTTGTGTGATCCACAGTTCACAATAATCCCTGTTTGTCTGATGCTGGGCTTCTGTCGTGTCTCTCTGACATCACAGATAGCCAAGAGTAGAGCAAACTGTGCCCGAGCTGTGAGCTCACAGGTTTACTGCACGTGCACCGAGCTCGTTATTACAAAGTTTTAAGACAGGAAGTGAACAGTAGAATTTTAGTAGTCAAAGTCACCTGTTTAAATTGTATTAAGCCTTTAAATTATTAGGGGCGTGGCTTTTTTGACTGTTTTCTCTTTGGCTGTGTTCCTTTAGAGTTCTTCGTCTCTCCGGTGCTCATCCCGAAGTCTGCCGACGCTCCTTCAGGCCCGAGCGGGAAACACAAGGTGAGTCAGAGAGCTGCAGGTAAACCTGTGATCACCTGTGAGTGGTTAAGCTCGTCACAGCCGACCGAGCCTGCTGAGTGTTTTATTGCTGAGGAAGAAAAGCAGAGCTCTGCAGGTTGCTGATATCAAACTTGAGAACTTTGGCTTTAATTTGAGTTTACATTAAGTTTACATTAAGTTTTCTCTCTAAGCAGTCACCTCTCTCTCAAAGTTTCCACTGTGAGTCTCGATATACCCTCGCAGATGCTGCGTCGTCTCGCGGAGACAGGAGAATCTTTGTGTTTTAGCCTCGAAATAAACTTTAACCCCTCTGTGTTTCAGCTGCTGCTGTGTGACGACAGAGAGGAGGTGAAGAGGAGGAGCTCTCTGAACTGTAAAGACGAGTCAGTCCGTCGTGATGAAGATCCGGTGAGTGATGACAGGCTGAATGTTTTCATCCTGCAGCAGCTATCTTAACTAGCTGTTGTCCCTCCTCAGGGCGTCCTGTCTGACTCCGAGAACGAGGAGCCGATCAGCAGGAGGATCCGAAACATCTCAGCCTTCATCAGGAAAACCAAAAACTCATCCGCTGGGTGAGCACAACCACCCTGTCCTATTCCTTTTACAGACAGTGAACGTACCACAGACTACAGGGGTGTGACCTCTGACCTCTGTGTTTATTCTTTAGGAGTTGTCAGAGGAGCAGGAGCTGCACTGATCCTGTGGAGGATGGAGGAGGAAAGATGAAACTTGTCACCCAGCCGGCAGCCGTGATGGACCGGGTACGTGAGACAGTCATGTCATGTGATCAAGACTCCCGTCTGTGGGAACTTCAGAAGAAATAGTGTTTTATCAGGCTGTGTTAGAGAGTGTAATCAGATTACTGTATGCTTCAGGAGCCATCCAGGTTCAGTCTGCGGGGAGAAGGATCGTTAAGCCCCTCTGCCATTAGAACCTGCTCGGCACGATTAGCCCCAGTTTTCAGGGTTACCTTTAGGTCATAGTACCTGGTCGGGTTCCAAGCGGTCCGAGCAGGTAATAAAATGTGACTTCATCAGACTACATGATTGGCTGGTCAGTAGCGTCACTGGATGAGTCGTGAGAGCTTCTCGTTCAGTAAAATCAAAACCGCCATTTTTGAAACGCTACATCAAAGGAGATGGCTACAAAAACAACGCTGCGTTCCCCGAGTGTGACGAAAAGCCACAGAGTGAGCTGCAGGCATATCTTTGCTTCGACGTGCACCTTTGTCTTAGTGTTCGTGTCACATGCCAATAGACTCGGTGCACCGTGTGCTACTTCCGGTGGGGAAACTCCTGTAGGGCGCCTCGTTTCCAGTGTGATATTCACGTCTTGTTTACGGTCGGGTTTTCCAAAACAAGTCAACCAAATGGATGAATCAAGCGGCGATTTACATTTCTCAAGATGTCGTGGGAATTTACTGAATATATCTGTAGATGATGTTCGTCGACGTGTCGATATTTTCCCCCACGCCTCAAAGCAAAAGAGAGAAAGGATTCAAATGTTTTATTTTGAGTGTTTGTATACAGCGGCCCCTCGTTTATCGCCGGTGTTCTAAAAATAACCAGCAACAGGTGAAATCCGTGAAGTGCCCAGCTTTATTTTTTACAATTATTTGAGATGTTTTAAGCCCCTCACTACACTTTATACACTTTTCTCAGACAGGCAGGAACATTTTCACACTTTTCTCTCTTGTTTAAACTCTCAAAGTTCAAACCTTCATAGAAAAATAAGTCCAGTATTATAGGATGAAACCAAAGATCAAACCGTGTTTTCGGGTCCAGAACATGAGAATAGAGCAGCTGAGAGAGAATCCAACATCAATCAATCATTAATGAATCAATGAATCAGCGATCGATGTAGCGATTCTGTACTGTACAGGAGAGACGGCACGGAGGAGATCAACAATGGTCTGCAGCCGAACGCAATGTGCTGTAAAAAAAAAAATGCAAAATTGCACACAAAAAATCTGCAGGTGAACCGCGTTATAGCGAGTTAGGGAGTTATAGCGAGGGACCGCTGTAATTTTGAAGGCAAGTCACAACATACCCCTGAATACTAACCTATAGAAACCCTTACCAGCAATCATTCATTTATTTTTTTGTGGCTTTTTTTCATAGTTTGTTGACATGCTGTGTAGGTGTGTACTGGTATGAACATAACGGGGAAACATCTGGCTTTGACTGTTGTTCACCTGCAGTTTGAGTGCTGAACATTTGCCTGTTTAAATCATAAGAACTGTCTGTATACAGAGATGTGCTTCTGCTGCAGTGATGCAGTTCTGCTTGTGTTGAGTGACGTAAACAACCAATCGATCTGCACGCTTCAAACGTCAAAACTGATCATCTGATTTTTTTTTTTTATGACACAGCAGTGGTGAGTGTTCCCACCTCTGCTCTTTGTAACTTAACGCCATCTTTCCGTTTTCGTGTTTTGGACATGATTTTGGAGTCCACCTTCGCAGTAGCGATTGACCGCAAAATAAAGCTACCGGAAACGTACAACCCCACTAGGGCTGCCACGATTAGTCGACTATCAACATCGTCGTCGACTGATTTAATAGTCGACGCGTCGTTTGAAGCTTTGTAAGATCCCAAAAGACGCAGGAATAAGTAGCAGGATTTAAGAGTGTAATAACGGACT